TATAATTATAATATAATAATAATAATTAATCGATACTCGGCAGGTAAATTAATAATCGTCGTTATCGTAATAATAACCTAATATTTACAAAGTTTTCACGTTTGAGGGCCCGTTATCGAATACGCATTCTCATAGTTACATTTTGATTGAACTGTACACATGCTTATGGACCCTCGATTGGAAAAAGACTTCATTCTTCTTTCCTTCATCAAAATTAACACGTTTTTATATAAATCCTCCCGCGCACACTAGCAGCCTGTTGTGAATTTCTATTTTTTGGTTGCATCAATATTAATTCGTCATTGCTGATTCTCTCAACAGGAGCAACAACTGATGAGCAGACATCCTGTCCAGAGAATCGCCGTCATTCATTACAACTAACGATTTAGTCAGCACTTGAGAAAATGTGGAATCTCTCGCGCTAATTTTCATAAAATTTCACGGCGCTAAGATACAACCTTTTCGGCGGCGCTTAAGTGGAGATATCATCTTAATAACAAATTTTCTCTCCTTAAACGAATATATTACTTACATACGATCTAGTATAGAATAATTGCATACAATTATATCGTACTAATTACGATCTAATAGTATTTGAACTATTAATTATTAATTAACATTAAATATACACAACATATATATATGTATATATATATATGTATATATATTTGTACGATTTCACTCATCGTGCATGAGCAGCAGCGAGAGTGGTAGTATCGAAGGGGCTCCGGATGGTACGAGGGGGAAATACGTAATAATAGTCTCTCGATAGTTTCGTCTTTCGTTTTTCCTCATCGTTTTATCAATTTTTCTATCTTTTTCTTTCTTGACCAAGGACGAAAACAATTTTGAGTCTATCTGAGCCAGGCCGAGTAATATTGAAAAGCACCAACATCGCGTTGTTTCTCTTTTCTCTCGATATCTCGGGTTTGAAAATCGAAAGAGAAGATATTTGCGCGCGCGACCCGAGCATCTCGCACAAGGGGTCAAGGGTCGCAAAATCGGAACTCGCCATCTCCGGTCCTGAGGATTTCAAGCCCAAACACGGCTCAATCCACTCAACGAAAACTCGACGCAATATACGTCAGACTATCTCTTTCAGTCTCTATCTTATGCGCACGAAACAGCATCAGAATTAATTATCTAGCGATTTGATCATGTCCGAAACATTTCGCATTATTTATAAATCAAGCGATGTAGACGATCGCAGCCGTCCGAACGCCGCCGCCATCATCTTCTTTTAATCCTCTAACAACCGCACGACGGATCTTGGATCAATTTTGACCCATAACTTTATAAATAAATTTTATATTTGATTTTAATGTATTTTAAAATTGTTTTTCTTAAAAAAATGCTATTTATATATGATGATTAAAACACAAAAAAGAAAACATTTTAATTATACAATAAAAATAAATGATAATTACGTTGTGTTACGTTCTGTACACATAAAATATTTGCTTCAATCATCACGTAAACTTTATAAAATAGTATTAAAATATAAGTCAAGATTGACCCGGCATCCGCCGGCGAAGAGTTAAGGAAATCACTTACATAATCGACCGATGTGATCGTCCGTAACAGTCACTACAACCCCTCGACGAACTTGGAGAGTTGGTCCTGCGGCGTCATCGGCGTCACCTCATTAGCGTCCGCGCCACCGTTCGTAGGCGCCGGCGCTGGCGAGGGGTGATGAGGCATAGAGGCGGGATGGCCGGTAGGCGCACCGGGGCCACCGCTCAACTGCGAGAGCATCATCTCACTAGGACCGCCACC